TGTTGGCTCCAAAATTAGGGTTCATTTCCAGAAATATTGAAAAATATAAGAAAACAATACAGGAAAAGTTATGCATGAAAGTCTGGTTGTGAAAAGATTAATTTTCACTGGCACTTTAATTTTGCGATTGACAAATACTCGTAAATTTATGAGTTAAGAAAATTTCATTCTTAAGAATCATGAAAATTTACAGCAATAAAAATCAAACTATTTACAGAATTTTGAACAAGGCGATAATATCGCTCATTTTTGTTTATGCAAATCAAATCAAACTTTTCTAAGCATTTACTGCATACTAATGTGTTGATATGCATAATAGGATCTTCTTCTGATATCATTATAAACTCATCATTATATACTATGAGGTTATTATGAGAATGCCTCAAAATATGCACAAAGCCAGTACAGCTGGAGTATCGGCCGAGTTCATACTTTGAGGTGTTCTCTAATAACCTTATTATTATACATCTTTTCCTTGCAAGGATTCATCATGGGAATGGCGAAATCAAACAGAATCAGCAAACTTCTTTGTATGGAGTCCGGTCAAACTCTGGTGGCAGCCATGTTTGTTTTTACTATTAGAGGGCACTTACGCGCGTAATATCATTTCATATTTGGAATTCGCATTTCCTCATATGGTCGGGTGAAAATATCCCATAAAATACCGCAAAATTACGGCACGCTGTAACTTATGGTGTTACAATGACAGATGTATAATAATAGTATTTAATACATGTCATACTGTTTTTTATTTTCTAATTTTTAGATTTTAGGAATACCAGTAGGTTAAAAATAAGGAATCTATCCTCAAAATGATCAGTACGTTTTACGTATCAATATATATTTTGGTGTATTTTCTAAAAAATAAGGTTGATTGAATTATGAAATTCAGGTTGCCTATTTATCCTATCAAAATGTGGAGTGTCTATATACAAGACAGGTAGACATGTTGCTACCTAGTAGCCTGTCACTGCATTAGACAGATTGCTTTTATATATACTGATCACTTTCATGTGTTGATTACATTGAGTGTATGTTGAGTGGCTAACTGTGAACAAGTGGTCTTTATATATCATACTGTAAAACCATTTATTTTCACTGACATTTAATTTCATTGATGTTTTGAGCGTATTCACTGTATTTTCACAGGTTTGTCAAGGAAACAATGAGTGTTCTTGTTATTTTACATGTTCTCGTAGTTTAAATCCCAGTGAATAATTAATGCATTTTATATAGTAATAGTGGACACTACATCAGGTTTGACTCCATTTACAAACAGGTTGTTTGTTTGTTTATTTATTTATTTATTGTGAAAACATAGGTACATTGAGCTTACTAATTTGTAAGCTTTTTAAATATTTTAAATTTACAGTCTTCTAAGAGTGGAGAAGCAACAGTCAAGGATGAGATGTTCTTCATCTTCCACAGTACCTGTGTTGCATTTTTTACACAATCTGTAGTTTGCCTCAATTCTTGGAATTTTCTCCTGCCTAATTCTATTTCCAAATTATG